CAGATTCTCTGCCAGATCCTTTTAGATTAATGATGACGTCAGTCAGAGCTCTATTCTTGGTTGGTTGGCTGAGTTTGTTTAACGGCATATCAACTTCTATGTGTTATTTAATGCTGAAATCTAAATATTTTAAAATAATTTATGGCTTCAACTAAATATATTCTGAGAGCAACTGTATGCCTTCAACTACAGATAAAATGTATTGTTGGTCATTTTGCTATAAAATTTATTGTTGGTCATTTTACTATAAAATGTATTGTTAGTTATTTTTTTATAAAATGTATTGTTGTTCATTGTACTATAAAAGTTATTGTTGGTCATTTTACTATAAAATGTATTGTTGGTAATTTTACTATTAATATTTATGGTTGGAATTTTTTATATAAAAAAGAATTGCTGATTTTTTTACTATAAAAATGTATTTTTATATTTTCATAGTGCTTTGTTTTTGTTGGGGGGGGGCACTATTTGCTCCTAACTGGGATCCTAAATCTTTAATGCTAAAATCTAAATATTTTGTACATATGTTTTTCATTGAAAGTCTAAAATTATGTTTTTTTTTGTTTTGTTTTTTTAAATATATAGTTTTTAGATCATAAAAGTTATTGCTGGTAATTTCACTACTAAAATGTACTGCTAGTCATTTTGCTATAAAATGTACTATTGATTTTTTGGCGGGGATTAATTGCCCATAGTTGGGGCCCTAATAAGTGCTACCACCCAGAAAAGGGTAGATTTGATAACAACAGCAATTAAGATGGGGTTCCACGTACCTCAAAACCTCCAATCTTTCGAGTAGATAGCTTGCTGCCGGATGTAGTTCATCGTCAGACCCTGAACTTTCTATACTTGTACTTCCGCTGTTCCTTATCATCACTGATTCTTGAGCCAGTATCTATGCTGATGACACAAAAATTTACTACTGTATTAGAAAGTCTAATCGTTTTGATAAAATCATATTAACTCTGATGTTGAAAATGGCATTCAGTCTGTTGTTAAAATGGGCAAGGAATGGCTTTTTAATTTTAACGCCTCCAAAACGAAACTGCTCTCCTTTGATCCTTTTAACCTCTTGCCCGCTTTTTTCGGGTAAAATGGCTAATTCTCAGACGAATATTTTTATTTGTTTTTAATATAGTAACTAAGAAACCGAGGTACCTTGAAGTACCCGAGCGATGTCTAACACGTCTACTTGACATATGAGTGGACAACTGGCCTCGTTTCAAGCTCATAAGGACATAAAACGAATCAAGATCAGTTAAGAAACTGAGGTACCTTGAAGTACCCGAGCAGTGGCTAACGGCTCTACCAGACATATCAGTTGACAACTGACCTCGTTTCAAGCTCATAAGGACATAAAACGAATCAAGATCGGTTAAAAAACTGAGATACCTTGAAGTACCCGAGCGGTGGCTAACGGCTCTACTAGACATATGAGTCGACAACTGACCTCGTTTCACGCTCATAAGGACATAAAACCAATCAAGATCAGTTTAGAAACTGAGGTACCTTGAAGTACCCGAGCGGTGGCTAACGGCTCTACTAGACATATTTGACAATTGGACTAGTTTTAAGCTCTGAAGGACATAAACAGAATTCAGATCGACGTATAAACACGTCTGTAGATGTTTTTTTTTTAACGTTATGTTTGGGGGCGTGTTTATTCCTCCTTTTCTGGAAAAGTCAATTTCGGTAAACGTATAAAGACGTACACGCCGGAGAAGCTTTTAAACAACTAGACATATCTTCACTCCGGAATTTGTCTTGCACATTTATAAGCATAACATCCGTTCGTGTATTGATTAATGCTGTCACCTCTGGCCTGGTGCTTTGCTCCGTATTTTAAAATTCTTCGCAAAATTCAAAGAATCAGTAATGTTATCAATCCTGACCTGACCATCTCGTTTACAGTCATATTTCTATCGACTTAACGTAGCTTCCCTGTACCTCTTCTATATTTTCACGGCAACTGTTATGATGAGCTTTCATTGTTGATACTGCTTCACGAATTTAAAAGCAGTACTAGATTTTATTTCATACTATTTCACCCCAAGCAAAATGGGAGTGCCACTAGTACCGAAGGACCTACAGAGAGTGTAAATAAGGGAAACGAATAGGCATGGTGGGGTGAGGAAAAGATAAAAAGAAGAATAGAGGAGCTTAAAAAGAAGAACGAGGGTCAAGGCAACAAGATATCGATTGACATTACATTTAAATTTTTGAAGATTATAGTTATCATGGAAGCAAGTAAGATGAAGGGAGTTCCAATGTCGGGAAGTGCGAGAGAAGAAGCTGTTGGAGTAGAAGAGGCGGTTACATTTCATTGTTTTAACAGTAAAAGGGTGGGACCGAAACGCCAATCTAGTAGTACGCTTAAATTCATGCAGTCGGGGAACCAGTGAAAGTAGCTTGTCAGAGCAGATGCCATGAAAATATTTGTAGAAAAGACAGAGGGAAGCCACATTACGTCGGCCAGAAAATGACTGGAGTCGAGAGCCCAAGTCAGAACCGATCACATTGAATATCCGTCTTTTGATTGTGTCGAGAACCTGGCGAAGACTGCGTATAGTAGGGGGTGGGGAAAGGTTAAAAAGAAGAATGGAGGAGGATAAAAGGAAAAACGGGAATAAAGGCAACAAAAGATGTCGATTGAGATTATATTTAAATTCTTGAAGATTATAGCTATCAGGGAAGCAAGTAAGAGGAAGGGAGTTCCACTGTCGGGAAGTGCGAAAGAATAAGCTGTTGGAGTGAAAGAGGCCGTTAGATTTAACCATTTCGACAGTGAAAGGATGGGACTGAGAGGCCAAAGCTCCCAATATCACTGTTAAAATCACTGTAGCCATAATTTCTATTGTAATTGTCTTTTTCTCAGGCACTTCTCGTTTGAGAGAACTCTCTTCCAGCTTCATGCTTTCCCTGTTAAACATTGATCTTTAAAAGTTTAAATAAAATGTCAATCAACAACTTCTGCCTCCCTGAAGTCAGTTCGTTTATTGTCCACTTTGTTTTTTTTATTTTATTTCCAGTAACTCCCAGTGGCTTTATTTCCATGCTTAAGGCGAAATAATTAGTTTTTAAAAAATAATAGCCTCAAAACTGGGCTTAAAAACCGAGGATTATTTCCCCTAGTTACAAATGGTTAAAAAACATAAATGATGCGTCAGAAAGACCTCCCCCCATAATGGGAAAACATTAGTAGTATTGGTGTCTTATGTTACAATTTTTGGATACATTATGTAACTAGTGAGCTAGCCCAAATGACTTGACTCATTTTATAGTCCCCCAATAGAAGGTTAACCAATCAGAAGACGTAGAATATTCAATCCGTCGTGTATAAAGGCGGCCATTTTGTCTACTCGACCCGAATGTCAAATGCCAGCTTGTCAGGCGAAGAGAACCAGAAGGACGAACTACATTCTGCTACTTTTTACCAAAATATCCACTGCTAACCTGAACAACGCTTTCCTACTATCTTCGAAATATTCACTGCTAACCCCTGGATTCTATACTCAAAGACGACCGTCATCATGAACAACATCTTAATCAGACTAATGTCTTAGGATTATGTCGGAGGTATTTCTGGGAGGGATATGTGGGAGGTATTTTTGCCGCACCCTGTTTTTCTTTAATTTCTTATTTAATAAGTTAAGATGGGAAAGATATTAAGATTTGCAGCGATTCGAAACTCCATTAACATTTTTAAAAAGATCGTCAGAAAAATATGGCGACCTTTTCTGAAGCTACTGATTGGTCAAAAAATGGAAATGGAGCCTCTACTTTCTGGAGTGAAAGCGTTGTTATAAAATTTGAAGAAAGCCGGAACCCCTGTCACAAATTGTATATCAAGAAGCATTCCATTTCTATCGTCTGAAAAAAGGAAACAACTCAAGGATTTTCCTGCCCTGAAATGTGTTCTCTGACGCCATACTATGCAAAAAGATAAACAGCCTGGCTTTTTATATGTGTGCATAATGGCTTTCCTTTCGCTTGCTGTGTATACATCTACTTATAGAAATTATTATCTCCAAATATTGCAGACACAAAAAATATCAGATTATCCATGGAATATAATTCGGAAACGAAGAAAAGTTTCGAGAAATATAAAGCGATAGAGAGAAAAACGTGAGTCATTAGTCACGCCATTTTCAATACGAATCGTTTCAGAGATTTGTTCTTCTGCACGAAGAACGAAAACTAAGGAATATTTTATAAATGGTTCGCGAAAAACAGGATTGGGAAGGAAATTTGTTCGGAAAAAAAGGGAAGAAAATGGTTGAGAAAAAAAGAATTACACCCGAACGATAATAAAGAAGCAGAACAAAAACAACGTTTAAGGGTGAAGGTAAAGGTTGATGGACATTGTATCGCATGACTACACGAGACTTCATTAATATAAATAACGCTGGAACGTTATCCAAGTGTCAGCGTTTTTTATATATTATTTTTTTTTATGTGCGTTTTCCTTAAATTCAAATTGATCTTGACTTGTATCATTATTTTGATACGTGTCTATTCATTTTCCTTTGTTTATTTTTTATCTTCTTGTGGACTATGAAAGAAATCATCATTCCGTTTGTGTTTAACCGACGAAATCAATCAAAGAGCGAATGTATCTGAGAATATCTTGTAGGTGTGGTAAGAAGATGAGAATTAGAGATCGATCGATCGATAGATAGATAAATAGATAAATAGATAGATAGATATGAACATGATATATTTATATATATATATATATATATATATATATATATATATATATATATATATATATATTTAACAAGATAGACATATATGGACAGACATAAATATGAATAGATAGAAAAGAAGAATGAAATGTGTAGACTGAGATAGATAGAAAAATAGAAAGAAAAAGAGAATGATAGAAAAAAAGAAAGTAAAAGAGAATGAAAGAAAGAAAGAAAAAACAGATAAAGAAAAATCAATCAAAGAGCGAATGTATCTGAGAATATCTTGTAGGTGTGGTAAGAAGATGAGAATCAGAGATCGATCGATCGATCGATCGATCGATTGATAGATAGATAGATAGATAGATAGATAGATAGATAGATAGATAGATAGATAGATAGATATGCACATAATAATTTACACACATATATAAAGAAATAGAAAGAAAAAAGAAAAAGAGAATGATAGAAAGAATGAAAAAGAGAATGAAAGATATAAATATAGAAAGAAACAGATAAAGAAAAATATAGAAAGAGAAAGGAAGATCGATAGAAAGAACGATCGATAAAGACAGACAGAAAGAGGGAAAAAACACAGAAGGAGAAAGAAAAATCGAATAAGAAAGCGAAAGATACTACGTGAAAGAAAGAAAGAAAGAAAGAAAGAAAGAAAGAAAGAAAGAAAGAAAGATAAATCGGAGAGAAAGATGAAAAGAGAAAGATAAAAAAGAGCGAAAGAAAGATAGAATGAAAGAAAAGGATAGAAAAAGAAAGAAAGAAAGAAAGAAAAAGAAAAAGAAAGAAAGAAATAGGAAAAAAAATAGAGAAAAAGAGAAAGAAAGAAAAAAGAAAATGAAAAAGAACGAGAGAAAGATAGAAGGAAAAAATCAGAAGTGAAATGATACGTATGTAAAAAATTGTTATATATTCTAACGGGTTTTTAATTTCAAGGCAAAGACTTTAAATCTTGGAGAATTCTCAGTCCGCCAAACGCGTCCCTTCAAAAAGGAATAATATATCTGGTTTGATCATAATATCTATTCTATATATCTATATCGTGTCGAGAAATCTTCAGCCAACCTTCATATAGGGCAACAATTCTTTAAAAAATGCATTTAACCTTTTATGAGCATCTCTATCAAATAGCAAAATATCCGGTCAGTACGTAAATACATAGAAATCCCATGTTGTCTAAAATGCCATGTGTCACGTGTACGACAAAATAAATACGATAAAGAGTACTAAATAGAAGTTCAGAAGAGCAACTAAGTTTGTTTTAGTAAATAAAAGAGCTTTTCTTTTAATTATAGTGATTTGGTCCGTGGCTCAAAAAGGAAAAAAAATAAAGGCTTACCGGCAAGAAGTTAAAAAATAATTCAAGTAATTTCTTTAAACATAAGCTTACACATCCAGTCAGTAACTGGTAGATAAGGAACCGCTCTGAAGCAGATACATCGCCAGTCATCTCCTTAATGTTGACTCCAACCAACGAATACAAATACCCGGATGAAGACCTCTACTTGTCATGTCATCTGACCGCATCAAAGAGTTTTTTTTGAAGTCTTTGATCTAAATGGCACAGAACTCGGAGAAGTCTCATTCGTAAAAAAAATATATTCTCTTAACACATGATTAACTGAAATAAAGAGTAGGTGAATGTTGTTAGATTTTTTAAAAAACAGCATTCAAATCAGTGCTTTTCCCTAGGCTCGAACAACGATAACCCAATCCCCCACTATAACAAGCAAAGGTGTTTGAAGTTATTTTTATTCATCATGACTTACTTTAATTCAACAGTATGGAGTACCATCGCGCATTGAACTACAAAGTTTTAATGATGAATGATGTCAAGATGGCTAAACGTCTTATTTGAAAACCTGAAAAAAAAATTCAATTAATTTAGCGTTTTTTAGATATTAAACATTTTATTGGATGGAGAATTATCAACGCTGTTGAACAATTTTTGTAACACCTGATATATATATATATATATATATATATATATATATATATATATATATATATATATATATATTACGATAAACGTGCAATCAATTTACAAATTCATGAATTATTCACACAAAAACTAATGCAAAGGTTAATTATTTAATTGGCGAGAAATCCATCATCGCAAACAATTCAAATAATATACAAAAACCTCCGAATCCATTATGAATTAAATGATCCTTGTTTATATAAATTTCTGCCGTATTAGTTCTTATTTTTACTACAAATATATATATATAGGGAAACAGAGACCAACTAAGTTTGTTTTAGTAAACAAAATATTTTTTCTTTTAATTATAGTGATCTGGTCAGTGGCTAAAAAGGAACAATTAAAGGCTTACCGGCAAGAAGTTAAAAATATTTCAAAGTAACTTCAATCGGGAGTTTCTTTAAACATACACGTACACGTCCAGTCAGTAAATGATAGAAAACGAACCGCTCTGAAGCAGATACCTACAACAACTGACTTCGCCAGCCAACTCCTTAATGTTGCCTCCAACCAACGAATACAAATACCCGGATGATATCATCTGACTGAATCAAAAAGTTTTTTGAAGTCTTTGATCTAAATGGCACAGAACTCGGAGAAGTGTCATTCGTAAAAAAAAATATTCTCTTTACACGTGTTTGACCGATTCTTATAAAGAGTAGAAGAATTTATAATGGTTTACTTAGGCGCATATTAATATTTTCCAGGTTATTGACTGCCGAATTCTGTCATATTCATAAAAATTTAATTTTAGACATTGGTTTCCAGGAGAATCAAAACGGTGCACATCAGTTAGATGTTCACCAGATTCAAAAAGTTCGACATTGTTTACATTTTCACGATAGCAAAAAATGGTAGACATCGTTCTAAGAAGAATAAAAAAGATCAACATAAGTTTGGTTTTTATGAGAGTCAAAAAGGTAGACATGTGTTTGTTTTGCGTGGGTAAAAAAATTAGATAATGGTGTAATAAACAGATATATGCTTTTTTTTTTTTTTTTTTGGTGATGGAGTTGTACTCCTCTACAAACGTGTGGATTCGTTGTGTTCTTGGCCCCATTTGACAGAGCGTAATTTTATTCTGTATTACTGTCTCAATCGCTAACCATAGAGTTCTGTCTTAAAAGAATCTCTGATTACACATTAATTAAGCAATTGCATGATGAAAAAATGGATGTTACGATTTCTAAAAGCGGTACTACATTTGATGTATAAAATGTAATTTCACGCATGCGCAAATGTCACAGCTATTACGAAACACGCGTAATTGAATTCACAGAAGAAAAAGAAGACATTTCGTGTTTCTATGTATTTTGCCCAGTCTAGTAAAAAAATGCAAAAGACATAAGCATTTGTGGTTTTTATTAAAAACAGTTTTTACTCGTGATGCCAAGAAACTGAAGAAATATTTGAGAATTTCCCATGGGTAAAATCCAATTTTAAAATTATTTACCATTTATTTGCGAATTAACGATAATATCTAAACTAATCTAAGAACTAGATAAATTAAGTTAATTTATTTGATATTTACTGAGGTTCTATTTCTATTTTTTACGCTATAGTTCACCAAATACAAGTCCCAAGAGCCACTCAAGTTAAAGGGATACTGACTGAGGTGTGAGCATAAGAGTTGTGGGTAAGAAGTAGTGTATAAGGATATGCAGAGTAGATAACGGTTAACGCTAGACTTCGTTTTTTTTTTACAATAACGATTACCTTTTACGAGGCCCAGGAGCCGCTCGAGGTAGAGGATTACTGATTAAGAGTTAAAACACACTTGATAGGCTTGAAAAGTTTAAGATTGTAGTGGTCGACGAAGTATTACCTTGGGAGCCAGCTACACAAAGCAGTGGTGCTTCGGAAGAAGCTGTTTGAATGTGATACGCTTCTTATCAAGAGAATACGAAAGCAATGAGGAACTATTCGAATATATTATTATTATTATTATTATTATAAGTGCTATATGTTGTGGGTACACGTGTTTGAGTGCATATAACTGTTTTGTTTTTTTCAAAAGTGAAATTGACATCTATTGGGCTGAGAAATCAGGCAGCAAAGCTTCTTCCTAACATTTGATCAACAGGAAGCAACAATGTTTGATTTTTTTTTTTTTTAGTAACGACCTTGAATAACTCCAATGCAGATTTTATAAGAACAAACTTACATTGTTCGTCTATATTTCTGAGTTATGGTAATTATTTAAATTTTTTGGAATTTAAGACATTTTTTTATGTTTAGAGATTCTTTTTATAGATACAAATATTTAAGTAAATGCTCTACTTATAATAAACAGTATTAACAACATTTACCGGCCTGAATGTCCGAGAAATTATCATAGAAAATATGCGTCCTCCGAAAGGAATCGAACCCGTATCCTATACGGAACCGCCATATAGCTTTTACCGATTGAGCCACAGAGGATCGTTTTCGGTTAGTAAAGTCGATTTTACTTTTTTGAACTACAATTCTCCATGATCTTCTCTCATACATTCATATCTGCTCGATGCGTATCCAAATGTAAACAAATGTCGTCAGACATTATGAAATGGACAAAGTCCGACAATTATTTTAAGACATAGAAAATATACGCCCCCCCTTCTATGAAAAATGTGAATATAAACTAAATAACGAGATATTAGCAAAAGTATATGCGTGCGATAGCGTGCATACTCAGATAAGCAAATAAACATTTATTCAATTTAATATCTGTTGAAAACAAAACAGTTCTAAATACAGTTGAATAGAATTATGGATTATAATACAACTGTACGAAGTGGTTCATTTACCAATTGTGCCTGACGACTTGAGAAATAATGAAAGTTTATGTTGCACTACAAACGTACCTATTGTGTATTTATTGATATATATATATATATATATATGTAAATGAACCACTTCGTACAGTTGTATTATAATCCATAATTCTATTCAACTGTATTTAGAACTGTTTTGTTTTCAACAGATATTAAATTGAATAAATGTTTATTTGCTTATCTGAGTATGCACGCTATCGCACGCATATACTTTTGCTAATATCTCGTTATCTATATATATATATATAAGTAAATGCTCTGCTTATAATAAACAGTATTAAACAACATTTACCGGCCTGGGTGTACGAGAAATTTTCATAGAAGGAGGACGAATATTTTCTATATCTTAAAATAATTGTGTGTGTGTGTGTGTGTGTGTGTGTGTAAAGTCCACATTACAATCAAAAACGTTTGCAGTTTCTCTCTTGTTTTTAATATATATATACTTTTCTATCGTTGGAACAACTATACCTCTTCCATTTTTATATATATATATATATATATATATATATATATATATATATATATATTAAGACATTTTTATGTTTATACATTCTTTTTATAGGTACAAATATTTAAGTAAATGCTCTATTTATAATAAACAGTATTAAACAACATTTTTCTATTTTCTATGAAAATTTCTTGGACAATCAGGCTGGTAAATGTTGTTTAATACTGTTTATAATAAACAGAGCATTTACTTAAATATTTGTATGTATAAAAAGAATGTATAAACATAACAATGTCTTAAAATAATTTCGGACTTTCTCCATTTCATAATGTGTGACGTCATTTGTTTACATTTGGATACGCATTGAGCAGATATGAATGTACGTGAGAGAATCATGGAAGACTGTAGTTTAAAAATAGTAAAATCAACCTTGCTAACCGAAAACGATCCTCTGTGTCTCAATCGGTAAAAGCACGTCAGGCTATATGACTGTTCCGTATAGAATACAGGTTCGATTCCTGTCGGAGGGCGAATGTTTTCTATGAAAATTTCTATAAAAAGAATGTATAAACATAAAAATTGTCTTAAAATAATTGTCGGACTTTGTCCATTTCATTTTTTGGTTTGTTGTCCTCGTCTTTACTGCCATACTCACAACATTTCCGTCATTGTACGCTCGTCAAGGATACACGGCCCAGTAGATAGAATTGTCAGTTGGATCTAGTAACTTGACCCAAAGAGTTGTGAGTTTGGCTACTGCAGTGGTGTACAAAACCTCGGCGAGTTGAGTTAAAGGGAGATAACTATGACACTCAGAAGAGACATGGTACATGAACAAGAAAAATTTACCCCGGTGGACGAAATAAATGGTTTAGTTAAAAATATCAATCACCTGAAGATGACCGCAGCGGGAAACAGCTGAAACGTTGTTAATATAGCAATAAAGATGAGGACGACAGTCCGAACAATGTAAATAATACTCACATACTAAAAATTGTTACGATTTCATACAAAACCGTTTAAAGCACTTTGAAACATCCAACACCGAAGAACTCTCTCATAGCATTAATCTATATAATATCTTCAAGTTCTTTAAAAAATTAATCAATTTGTATTCCAAAATAAAACTTCAACAAAACTGCAACATAAACTTACATGTAAATAGTTTATATTGTTTATCTGTCTTTGGTAAGCAACTGATTTTTTTTTTTTTTTTTGCATTGAAACAACTAGGAAATGTCGAGAAGCAAATATTCTTTAACTGGTAATAATAAACGGTAAATGGTATCAATAATATGGTGCCATAAAATAACTCATTGAATGACCCACAGATTATATAAAAATTGATCTTTTAAAAGTTCTTTTACCATAAAAAAAAAACTAGGCTAGCCTAAATGAGCCAGAAAAATATATTTAAAAAAAATAGCCTGAATGACCACTAGCATAAACTCCTCTTGTATATTACGAAAACGAGGCAAGGTGGCGTGATGTTTTCAAGTGGGATTATAGATGTATAAGTGGTGAGCCCATAGTAAGTTAAAGGTGATCATTTTTAGGCAGTGTAATGGTTAGCAACCTTGTTTCGCAAGATCAATTACGATTGAGTAATGAGTACATGCTTCATTGGGTTCTTAATATTTTCGGCCTCGTGGAGCATTTAAGCTATGCTCAGAAATTAATTTTTTGAACAATTCGATATTTGCAAGCGTGCCTCGCTATATCAATTATGACTGAATAGTGAGTTCGATCCTCTCTGGATGCCCTATACATCTGGCTGTGTGACACATGTAAGCTATGCTTAGAAATCATCAAACCTTGCTAGAAGAATTTTGACAGAGTAGTGAGTATTCTCCCGATACGAACCATACTTTCAGCCTTGTGCCAATTCTATGCTACGCTAAGAAATTCATTTTGGGACATTTTGACGTGGTGTAATTGTTAGCAAGCTTGTCTTGCTAGATCAATTACGACTGAGTAGTTATTTGCATCCTCAAAAAGAAAACGATTTTATGCACGACATGTATTTTTGTTTATTATTTATAAAACTTATCACGAAATATGAATTGCATATTGGGCATTCATATCGTTTCCATAATTTTGACGCCATTCAATTTTGGGGACAATTTAAAAAAGGTACATATATGCTGTAATTGCAATTCTTATTTTCATCATAACAGTAATGGTAATATCAACCGTTTCCTTATAAGGAAACATTTGACATTCTTTGAACGAGCAGTAAATCTTGATATCGGCTGAAATTTATAAAATCTTTCTCTTAAAACAATTTTTTCAGAAAAATAAGTTTCTCAAGTCCAGTAGATGTTATCGCTCTTTCCAGTATTAGGGCGATGGTCATCGCGAGCTTATTATTTGATGTGGTGTGGAATTTTGATTATTTTCTCTTTGAATTCTATGTACTATCCATTTAAGTTGTTGCTGCTGTTGGTAGTCCTTAAGTAATGTGGTGATCCTGTAGCACCAGTCCACAAGGTTCCAAGAAGGAAGAACTTTGCCAAAACCCATATGTTTCCCTTACTCAGCGCCATTTTTGCCATTGATCTTAGAAAGCGGTTGTATAGAGCTGACATTTTAGATATTTCGATGAATGCGTTTCAGTGTATATTGTTTAGGATGCATCAGTCTCTGTTCGCAATAAAACGTTGAGAGATACTTAGCCGAGCAAATATGTGCATACAGGAAAATAGATTTCTCAAGTCCAGTAGCTGATGATGGAGGAGTTTCCTTCCTAACCTTTTGTTTGAAGTCGTGTGGAATGTCAACATCTTGATTGTTTCATTATTTTCTCTTTGAGTTACAAATGCTATCCATTTTAGATGTTGCAGTCCTCAAGTGGTTTCTGTTATTTGATACAGTTCTTTGGTTTGCGATTATGGAAGCCAAATTTACACAACCTCTTTATGGTGAAGTTTTGGAGTTTATGTATGCAACTATAGATCTCAAGGCAGTGATTGGTAACTGGAATTTTAAAAAAAAAGAGTTCCCCTATTAATTTCCAAATATTCTATTGTTCGATCCACATAAAATTTTTGTTCAGGTTTTCTGGAACGTCGTAACTTGGCTTTGTTTACGTTTCCGATACTAAACGTAAACAAAGCATCTTCTAAAGAATTAATGGATTTTTAATTTTTTTTTTTTTAATTGTACATATTTTTATTATTTCAAACATTGTTTAAGTGGATACTTGCATTTGAGTTGACGCTGGACATGTAAAATATGCTTGAAGGCAAGTAGAATATTTCTTGATGATGAAATTCTTTGTAATCGAGCGGTCAAAACACATTGGTTGAAAATTATTAAATCTTTCTCTTAAAACAATTTTTTAGAAAAATAGGTTTCTCATGTCTAGTAGCTGTTATTACTTTTTACACTATTAATGGTGCGTTTATTTTTGTTAGTGATTCTGTAGTACCAGTTAACAAGGTAGTTCACTATGACTCATTTTTGCTATCATGTTAATCAGCACTGATAACGATCAGATCCTAAACTATTACTCAAATGGCAAGAAGAACATAAAATCTTTAATAATTATAGGATTCTACTTAAAATCTCTTAGGGTGTGTGGGAGGTGTAATGGATTGTGGCTTAGAATAAGAAGTCAGAGAGCCAAGATCGAATACCTGTCCAGTTCATTACATTTATTTACGACGAAATACCCTTGGGAAAGGTATGGTTTGGTTTGATTTGGTTTGCTTAAACGGCATATCAACCTGAATGGGTTATTTAATGCCAACAATTTTTATTGCTGGTAATGTTTTTCCAACAATTTATTTCTGGTACTATTTTTTCTACAAATAATCTATTTCTGGTAATATTTTTTCTATAAAAATGTATTGCTGGGAATATTTTTTCTTCGACAAATCTATTTTTGGTAATATTTTTTCTTCAGAAAATCTATTTCTGGTAATAATTTTTCTTTAGAAAATCTATTTCTGGTAATATCTTATGCAAAAATGTATAGTAATAATTGTTGTTTTTTTTAATAAAATAAGTAAAATATTCAGTGGTATAAAAAAGGTTTGGTTTGGTTTGTTTTACAACATGTCAACTTCAATGGGTTATTTAATGCTCACAAGATTTTTATTGCTGGTAATATTTTTTATCTATCTATCTATCTATCTATCTATCTATCTATCTCAGTATATATTGGTTTGTTTGTGTTGTTTTACGGCATACCAACTTCAATGGGTTATTTAATGCCGAAAAGATTTTTATTTGTGGTAATATTTTTATCTATCTATCTATCTATCTATCTATCTATCTATCTATCTATATCAGTATATATTGGTTTGGTTTGGTTTGTTTTCAATTTCGGGATATCAATCTTAATGGGTTATTTAATGCCGATATGATTTTTATTGCTGGTAATATTTTTTTATCTATCTATCTATCTATCTATCTATCTATCTATCTATCTATCTCAGTATATATTGGTTTGGCTTATTTTGCTTTACGGCATATCAACCTCAGTGGGTTATTTAATGCCGGCAAAATTTTTTATTGCTGGTAATATTTTATCTATCTATCTATCTATCTATCTATCTATCTATCTATCTATCTATCTCAGTATATATTGGTTTGGTTTGTGTTGTTTTACGCAAACAAACCTCAATGAGTTATTTAATGCCGACAAGATTTTTATTTCTGGTAATATTTTTTCTCAAAAAATCTATTTCTGGTAATATTTTTTCTTCAGAAAATCTATTTCTGGTAATATTTTTTTCAAAAAATCTTTCACTGGAAATATTTTTTTTTTTAAATAATTTCTCGTAACTTTTTTTTTAAGTGTAGAGCTGGTAATATTTTTTTTTCAAAAATATATTGCTGATAATATATATATATTTTTTTTCAAAAAGGTATTGCTGGTAATAATTTTTTCTTCAAAGATTTATTGCTGGTAATCATATTTTTTACAAAGTATTTCTGGTATTAAAACCTATTTTCACACTTTCCTTGTGTTTTGACCTCAGTTTAGGGTTAACTATTTACCCATAGTTGGGACCCTAACATGTGCTACCACTCCAGGTCAGGGTGGACCTGGGAACACCAGCAATTAAGAGGCGATTCCATGCTCCTCAAAACCTCGTGATCAGAGGCCTTGTTGGACATTGTTTATAGTTTTACTCAGGACGCAGATGTGGTTTATCGTCATAGCCAGGACAGGGAAAGGTATAATTATTTACCCGCTACCCCACGCAGCAAGATGTGACACAAGGCCGAGTTTTAAAGTGAGGTGTCCGAGCCCGTAGGCTAGGGCAAAAATTCCCTATAGACCACGTAAAAACGGAGTCAGTTTCCCGAGAAGAGACTCTGTCCTTTGGGCAGAGCCTCGTCTGGGGAATACCCTCTGACATGTGCCACGTAAGTAGAGGACAGCTAAGTATATGAATATCTCTTTTCTTCCCCTACCCATTTATAAGTTAAATAACAGGGCAGACTGTGTTCTATAGCCTTGGTGTTCACCGCTCTAGAAATAGTGAATCAATGTAATCCCAATCTCTAAGCAAGCATGAATCATCGGTGGGGATGTGCCGGTCCATAAAAATGCAAAATGACTAAAAATTCTTCAGTGTGTTAGTTTGGTGTTCTACTGCAGGGGGAAAATTGTTTATGTAATTTATGATCCCCTAGGAGGATAGCCTTTAATATTTAAATGACGAAGAGAAAATTTAGGAAATATTTTTATGCTCTAATTATATCTAAATTATTTTATTTATAAAGTGAAGAGGAAAGCTAAGTTCACACAAATAAATAAATCGGAAAAAAACAATCAATTAACTTTCCTCGATATCATGTTAATATATATTGATTCATGATCAATCTATCTGTTTGTTTAACAGCGTCTCTCTTTGGCGGGTGTTGTTAATTATAATGACATAATCTATATTCATATGTTCTGGCGTATAGATATTGTTGAAACTTGACTAATGCATGGAATAATAATACAACACAAAATGTACTTAGAACAAAATGTATTGAAACAAGAAAGTGTACACAATATTTACATATAGTCTTTTGTATATTCCTGGGAAGACCGTCCCTGGAGAATATGTTGACTTAGTCGCAGTCTCTGGATTGAATCTCTTGATTCCTCCCCTCGTCTTCCCGGTACCAACCATATTTATATGGTCGGTACTCCACTATGCAAATTAGGTGGATCCTACCACAACAGATATATAACAAGATAGGTCTAGAAATTCAGATACAAATAAAATATGTATGTAAAAACAGTATGAAGAAAGGTAAAAAGATTACACTTTGTCTTTATTCATAGCAACATACATTATCATCCACAGACAGGCTGCTTTGCAGCTCATCAGTGGAGCTAGACGTCTGCTTGCCTCTAGTTAGGATTGAAACCCGTTTGAATTGACGTCAGTCGGAGAATCTGCCTCAAAGCTGTTGGCGCATGGCAGGAACGAATATGTATTTAAGCATATTTATTCTTAGATAAATACACAGTGACTGAGAGAACTCAATTCGCTTTACCGAAAATATACATATGCACACACACACAAACACACTGAGACAGATAGGTAGATATACAGATAGATAGCTCTTAAGAGATTAAGATTGACGTATATTAAGAGAATAAGATATTAAAATACTAAGGATAGATATTAAGCGATATACATAGATAGACATTAAAAGGCTAAGATATATAGATATGTAGATATTAACTATGTTAGATACATAGATATTAAGAGACTACGATAGATATTAAACACTAAAATAGATGTTAACAGACTAAATAGGTACACATATACTTAGATACATAGATATTAAGAGACTAGGATAGGTATAAACACACCCAGGTAGATAGATATTAACAGACTAAAATAGATAGTTATTAACTAAGATAGATAGATATTAACCGACTAAGATAGATAGATAGATAGATAGATAGATAGATAGATATGAAGAGTATGAATAAATAAATGGATAGATATGAAGAGAAAGACATAGATCGTTAGGCATTGAACATAGATAGATAGATAGATAGATAGATAGATAGATAGATTGATTTTAACAGGCTAAGGTAGATAGATTGTTTGGAAAAGATAAATAGATAATGGGAGATTCGACTGATGTCCCCATCTTGGGAGCTTGGGTTCTAATCAACCTGAAAGCATTGATTCCCGCTTCATCATCAAGATTAAGCACCGTCTTACCTGATATCAATTCTTCAATCAGTGACCTCTATTTCGGGTAATATAAATAATCCATGAACTTGTACCAGACTAGGCAAGGATTATTAAATGTCAATATATTTCCATTCAATCAGTTTGAAAGACAATCTTTGTAACAACATTAAAACCATATCAAATTGTGTAATGGCTAAAAGTTATTGTCAAACTTTTTTACGCGTACACACACATATTCAATAGCTAATTAAGCCTAAGTTACTGTTATATGATCTCCTGCCGTTTCTGTTTGGCTGAGGAACAAAATGCCAATATACATTATTTACATTATTCGGACTATTGTCTTCATCTTTGTCGCCATATTTATCACAACGTTTCGGTCGTTTTACGCTCCGGCCTTCTTCAGATGGTCGGAATTTCGAACTGAACTCTTTATTTCGCTCACTGGGGTAGACTGTTCTTGTTCCACGTGCCATGTTTGATGGATGTTAGTTATTAGTTATCTCCTGCTAATTTCCCTCTGAAAGTTCTCCACTGCCTTAACTGGGTATTGAACTCACACTCTTTGGCACGTGGAACTGGAACAGTCTACCCCAGTGAGCAAAATAAATTGTTCAGTTCGAAATTCCAACCACCTGAAGAAGGTCGGAGCGTACAACGGTCGAAAGTTTGTGATAAATATGGCGACAAAGATGAGGACAATAGTCCGAATAATGCAAATAATGTACATAATACCTCATCTCAGAAATATAGACAGATACTGAAAGGCCGAAACGTTGTAATAATATAGCGACAAAGATGAGAACAATAGTCCGAATAATGTAAATAATGTACATAATACCTCATCTCAGAAGTATAGACAAAATGCCAATGATATAAATTTTCTTAGCTAGGATAAAAACGAACGTAAAGAAAAAAATAAGAATCCTCAACGAATTGTTCCAAAGAAAAGGACTCAAGATAAACCTTTCTAAAATAGAAATACTGATCTGAAATCAAAATGGAAGTAAAGATGGCAGATCCTCCCACATCAAACAAGGTGATAATTCGAAGAGTCAGAAGTTATTTCAGAATTCTAAAAGACAGGAACTACAGAGTAGGATTTCCGATAAGCTGAAAGGCAAAAAACAGTGAGGCATTTATTGCAGAGCTTTCGCGAGCTCAAGTATTTTGGACAGTTGCAGGGGTTCCATCGAATATGCAAGCCCAGTGGAGATCTATATTAAAAATGATAGCAGAGACAGTTGTTTTTTTTTTTTTGTTTTTTTAATCCAATTCATCCCAAGTAAGACAATGAAGCCACCAAACGTCAAGTGTTTACCTGGTGTGGAAGAGTCAAAAACAAGAACATTTCTAAGGAGCTAAGATAGAGCAAAGAAAAATCAGGAGACAGCTGAGAGCGATTGACATTGCAATTAAATTTTTGAAGACCAAAATAGGCAGATAGCTGGAAAGGAGTTCCCTAAGCTAGAAGTGCAAAAAAAAATGGTTAGCAAAGAATTTACAGATACATCTAGGCAGGTCAACTTTAAATTGCTGAGATCTCGCCGGTACTACACTTAAATTTGAAGAGCCTAGAAATCATATTGAAAAGCCCATCTGAATAATTACCATAAAAGTCTTTATAGAAAAGGCACAGGGATGTAAATTTATGATTGTGGGAAATTGATTGAAGCCGAAACTCCATATCAGTACCACTTACCCTGGAATGTTTATAAACATTCAGGATTTGAATTAGTAAAAACTAAACACTGCAAATACCGCGGAATATGGATCTGTTATAACAAATTTAGTTCAGGAGATAAGAGAACTAAACAGAGAATAGTTTACCTGAGAGGTGGATCTGCCTAAAACTGCTAAAAAGGTGCTACAAAACTAAAACATTAGCCTATTACTTCAGGCATGTTCTTAAATTGTCACCTCTGAGACTTTCATATGGATGTTATATGTCGCGTGAAACTCGTTGAGAAATATGTCAGCTGTATGCCACCAATTTCTAAGAACAATGGTTTAAAATATCTTCAGGCAAATGGAGCCTGTAGGTCTTAGAGAGAACCAAACATCTTTGAACGTCATACATTGCTGCTACAAAATCACAAAGAACTGTACCAAATAACTGAAATTAATTTATAAGATGACTTTCAGTAGCAGCAACAACTGAAATACATAGCACCTTTAATCCAAAGAAAAAATAATGACATAATCAAGATTTTGACAATTCGTAATAAACAAAAAAAAAAGGTTACGAAGAACCTCTATCAATACAGGAACGAGAGATAAGACATAAATGAACTGAGAGATATAGTTTCCTGAAAAATAGAAAAGGCACAGGGAGGCAGCTTTATGATGGTGGGAAATTGACTGAAGCCGAAACTCCATATCAGTACCACTTACCCTGGAATGTTTATAAACATTCAGGATGTGAATTAGTAAAAACTAAACCCTGCAAATACCGCGGAATATGGATCTGTTATAACAAATTTAGTTTAGGAGATAAGAGAACTGAACACAGAACAGGTTGTCCGAGAGGTGGATCTGCCTAAAACTGCTAAACAATTGCTACGATGGTGGGTATTGACTGAAGCTGAAACGCCATATCAGTACCACTTACCTTGAAATGATTATAAACATTCAGGATGTGAATTAGTAAAAACTAAACCCTTCAAATACCACGGAATTGAAGCCTGTAGGTCTTAGAGAGAACCAAACATCTTCGAACGTCATACATTGCTGCTACAAAATCATAAAGAACTACCAAATTACTGAAATTAATTCATGATATGACTTTTTAATAGCAGCAACAACTGAAATACACAGAAGAAAAAATAATGACATAATCAAGATGTTCACAATCCATAATAAGCCAAATAAAAGGTTACGAAGAACCTCTATCAATACAGGAATGAGAGATAAGACATAAATGAACTGAGAGATATAGTTTCCTGAAAAATTGTTTTAAGAAAAATTTCAACCCAAATTAGCACTAGCTGCTTGGTCAATCAATGCCGAATAGTTTCTTATAAATAAATGGCTAATACTACTATTCTGTTTACTATATGAATAATAATTTTATGCCATTGTCTCTGGAGAATAAAGTTTTATTTAATATATTCTAATGTATTAAATAACCAAGCAAAGTCATAATTTAATGTCTTGAAGAATAAAGGTAGCAAACAGAAAAGGTAAATATAGAAACTCACGCCGTCAGAACATTCTTCTCGCATAAGTGATTGCAGACTTCGAAAACAATTCCTCATTGGCCAACTCATATCAAGAAGGTTAGTTGTAAGGCCACTCTTGATTTTCAAAGACAAGCTTAAATCTTTCTTTGGTAAGACGATGAACTACATCCGGCAGCAAGGCTTCTGATATAGAGAATTAGAGGAACATGGAATCACTTCTTAATTTCTGTTGTTCCAAGATCCAATCTGACTCGAGGTGGTAGCACCTGTTAGGATCTTAGCTATGGGCAAATTGTAAAAATACCAGAAATAGATTGTAATAGTAAAAAAAAAAAATTACAAAAGTCCCCCCCCCAAAAAAAAGTAAATTTCAGCACTAAATAACAAATTTAAACACAATCTGAGGCAAATGAAAGAACCAATTTCTTCTGGGTAAACGAAGTGTCAGAGAGAAGCAGTTGACACCTCTCATATGTCTCATCAATAAGAAAAGATTTGTGTGAGGCTGATTTGGAGATCCTGGTGTAAATACTAAAGCA